TTAAATTTTATATATATATATATATATATATATATATACACAATTTTATATCTATTTTATATTTTTATTAATATATAACTATAAATAATAGTTATATATAACTATATGTCTATTATATATTTAAAGTAATACCAATATTAATTCAAATATTAAATGATCAAATTATGTACACACATATACATGCATAAATATGAAAAATATTACTAGAAAATGTATATATTACACACCAATTCATTCATTTTAAATAAAATAAAATTCTATTAAAGTACAGTAATAATAAAAATATAAATTAAGTAAATAAACATATTAAAGGCACAATATGCAAGATTTTTTTATTAAAATATCCAAAAACCACTAGAACAGTGTTATATATTTTGCTGACTTGTGTACTTACATTATCCCAAATGTTTTGAAGAATGTTTAAATCCAGAGAAATAAGCTATTTTAACTAGTGACACGGATCGTGTCCATAGTGTCATTGTGTCGCCTGCCAATGACGTCATAACCCCTCGATTTCCGGTTTTGTTTTGTAGAAAACATGGAAACACCAAAGATGCTTTAATATGTTGTGCGTATTATTAGACCGGTGACGACCGCTCAACAATAATCAGAACATAAATAAATTATTTTCTGTAAAAAACAAATCCCTATAAATGAAAAAAATTAAGTCACTTAAGTGAGCCTAAACCTGCAGCTCAATAATCAAAAATATAATCAAAACATAATTTCTGTAAAATATAAAATAAAACAATTAATAAAAAATGCATGCATAAACCTGCAGCTCAACAAGGTTTTTGGAGACATGCTCGCTTTCTACACATTCATCTTACAGTCCGAGTTATGATGCAGGAATGTTCACCTTTCCCGGATTAAGTTTGGAGCTATGGTTTGGAGCGGTGAGGTACGAGGATGTGTGCACATACACACATAAGGAAAGAGAGAGCGCGAGTGTCACACACACACACACACACACACACACGCACGCACGCACGCACACACACACACACACACGCGTACTGTACAACACTCAAACAGTGGCAAAGTTTTTTTTTTTTTAAATGTGTGATTTTGAACAGATGTAAACAATGGTAGGAGGCTTAAAAGTATAGACGTGATACCAGCTAAATTTAATTATTGTACTAAAATCGCAGAAAAGTAGGCTACAGTACGTACTTTAGACTGCTATTCCTCACTCTGTGAAGTAACGTGAGGGAGGAAACTAGTTGACGTTAGCTAGTTAATTAGCCATGTTATCTGCCTCAGTAGTACAAATAGTATTTATAAATAGTATTAAACAAACGGCGGGTGGGTCTCTGTCTTGATCGGGGGTGAAAGAGGGAGAAAACCGAAGAAACCGAAGATGTATAGTTTATGTTCGACTTGGAAGTATTTATTTAGCGATCGGCGCTAAAACGTCATCTGTACGGAACATCATTGTGTACGGAACATGGTTAGTCTACGTTACCCGAAAAATTCCCATACGACAGACTTCGTCTTTTTCGACGGGGGAAAAATTTCCAGGGATTCATCTCCTTCGGCCATCCCACACACAGGTGACTCTGACCGCTCGCACCAACCGGAGGAGGAGGATCGTGTGACTCGCTACGCTCTTCGCTGAACACAGCTGAGGGAGTCCTGCACTTTCTGTCTTTGACGACCCGTAAAAAAACTGCGCATAACGCAGGAACGGTATAATGGACAATTTTAGTGGTTTTGAAATCGTGACTTTTCCAAACCGCGGTATACCTTGAAACAGGTTATCGTCCCATGCCTAGTGAAGATTAGGGGTGTATCGGTACGCGCATTGTGTACCGAACGGTTCACGGGCAAATTCCAAATGGAAGTGATCATCCCTATCCCCTTGGAGTGGAGACTTTGTAGTGAGCAGAGCACGTGCGTGCCATTATGTAGTCGTTTGGAATGCACTTGGAAAAGGGAGCGACGTAATTTCCTCATTATCTTCAGCTGGGATGTTCCCGTGACAACGCCGTCAGCAGATGTCGCTGTTTTAATGTCATAAATGTATTTTTATTGTTGTTAGCATAACTGTTGCAAATAAACATACATTTTATATTTTAAAAGTTTTTAAAATATGCTATATAATATATAAAAAAATAACATATATAAAACTTTTTAAAATATAAAATGTATATTTTTTTATGCCGGTGTCCATCAGCGAATCTGCTGACGGACACCGTGCTGTCACGGGAACATGCCAGCTGAAGATAATGAGGAAATTACATCACTCCCTTTGCCAAGTGCATTCCAAATGACTACATAATGGCACACTGTCATGCGTGCCTACTGTGCTGGAGCGAGGAGACATAGGAGATTCCAATATTTATTGAACAGAACACCAGGAAAGCACACGTAGCACTAGGGTGAGACAAACAATTCCGGAAGCTGGACATGGAAACACACAGGGCTTAAATTATGGGACTAATCAAGGAATTAACAAGGAGATTAAAGGAACACAGCTGAAACTAATGGAACTCAAATGGGAACAGGACCAGGAAAACCAAATATGGGCATAATCATAAACATGGAGCATGTGGGGGAGGAAAACAAAACACAAGACATGAAACAGAGTCTGACACACAAGTGCCCTGCTCACTCCAAAGTCTCCACTCCAAGGGGATAGGGATGATCACTTCCATTTGGAATTTGCCCGTGAACCGTTCGGTACACAATGCGCGTACCGATACACCCCTAATCTTCACTAGGCATGGGACGATAACCTGTTTCAAGGTATACCGCGGTTTGGAAAAGTCACGATTTCAAAACCACTAAAATTGTCCATTATACCGTTCCTGCGTTATGCGCAGTTTTTTTACGGGTCGTCAAAGACAGAAAGTGCAGGACTCCCTCAGCTGTGTTCAGCGAAGAGCGTAGCGAGTCACACGATCCTCCTCCTCCGGTTGGTGCGAGCGGTCAGAGTCACCTGTGTGTGGGATGGCCGAAGGAGATGAATCCCTGGTACTTTTCCCCCCGTCGAAAAAGACAAAGTCTGTCGTATGGGAATTTTTCGGATAACGTAGACTAACCATGTTCCGTACACAATGATGTTCCATACAGATGACGTTTTAGCGCTGGTCGCTAAATAAATACTTCCAAGTCGAACATAAACTATATATCTGTCATCTTCGGTTTTCTCCCTCTTTCACCCCCGATCAAGACAGAGACCCACCCACCGTTTGTTTCAGTGTTGAAATAAATACTATTTGGCTTGATACTGAGGCAGATAACATGGCTAATTAACTAGCTAACGTCAACTAGTTTCCTCCCTCACGTTACTTCACAGAGTGAGGAATAGCAGTCTAAAGTACGTACTGTAGCCTACTTTTCTGCGATTTAGTACAATAATTAAATTTAGCTGGTATCACGTCTATACTTTTAAGCCTCCTGCC